TAATGACCGGACGTTCTATTCGGGTGAAGACAGTAGGCATTTTGCTCCAGCTGCCTACCTCCAAAAGCTGCGGCGGCATGTAAGGCACGTTGGAGAAAAATGGCTGGGAAATGCACTGGTGGTTCAAAATATACAAGCTCAGAAGGTGGGCACCCTGCTGCCTGAGGGACGACCCAGGTTTAGTCACAGGCCGTCATTTGGCTGAGGCTCAATTTCTTGACCAGGAGCACCCCCTGCTTGTGACTGGGGCACGCTGCCTCTTCATCTTGTTGGCACAGGACACCTAATTCCCGTATCTAGCTCTAGCTTATGCCTGATTCCGGTAGTTAGTGGTAGCTTATGCCTGCCCCCTTATGCTAGACTTTTTAGATATGCTATCTTCCACATTCTCTCTCTGCCTATAATCAGTTTGGACACTTCATCTCTCAGCTTCTCAGCAGAAGTTCTGGCAGATATTGGGCGTCGGTCCACTACTCTCGACATGCACAAAAGACAAACATCATGGCAGTATATCTTTCCATGTTCTAGCCAAAGAATCTTTCCATGTTCTAGCGGACGAATCTTTCCATGTTCTAGCGGAAGAATCTTTCCATGTTGTACCGGAAGATTCACTCTCGTTTTGCACATTTCGAGGGAGATCCATTGTCTCGTCAACTGCATTAGGATCAACAGTTCTGTTAAACTTGTCGGAGACGGCAAGTACGTGTGTGAGGCAAAATCCTCTTTTCTGAGGCATATCCTCTTTTCTGAAATTCAAGGATCGCACTTAGGTCTGAGATCGACTACAGCAACTCTCCAAATGTGCAAAATGAGACGGAATCGTCCGCTAGAACATGGAAAGATACATCGCCATCTTTTTTGTCTTTTGCGCATGTGGAGAGTAGTGGAGCGAGGCCCTTACTTTGCCAAAACTAGGAGATGGATGTTTAGCATGATTTGAATTTCTATTTCCTCACTCACTATTTAGTATTTATATTAGTTTGATTTTTCATGGCTCCACTAGGCCTCTGCTGGCCAGCCCTCACTCCCCACCATTGCCTCCGCGAAATGCATGGTGGTAACATGGGAGAGACTTAAACCACCAGTACCTCCTGAAAGTGCTCCGCGTTAACTGCCAGCCAAAAGTGGAAACCGCATCGTTTCCACTTGGCTGAATCTGGCCTACCGGCCCAGGCCCGTTCATCCCAAAATCCATGCCCATTAACGCAGAGCACTTTCAGGAGGTACTGGCAAGATCCGACTGGCAAGTCTGAATCTGGGACGTGTTTGCGGGGAGAGGTGCAAAAAACTGTAATTGATCTGCTTTTCTGCATTTCTGAGTCGAACATGTCCTGATTCAGACACTTATTCCAATCCTCTTTGCCAGTAGGATCTTTCCCTTACTGAGTGGGCGCCCCTCCCCCATACCCTGCATTCTTTCCTGGAGGGGTGTAAACCCTAAAAAACTATTGTACGGATTCAGCAGGTTTTGAGCTCATGATCTGTTTACCAACAGTTACACGTGTGTACCATTCAGCCATGCACGTACCATGACATGCATTTTGTAAAACATTGGAAGCACAAAACCACAAAGAAGACCAAAGAGCCTAGCTCGGTGGGTACACACATGAATGGATAAAATACAGACCTGAGTTTGAATCCAGATGATGGAATCCGATTGATGAGTAAAACCAAATGTTTCTGAATTGCCCGGGGCCGGTCAGCTCAATGATGAGTTCTCAAGGCCGTCGTCCTTTAATAAAAAGGGACAATTTTTGAAATGCCCCTGAAGTTTGCATTTATTTGAGGCGTGCCCCTGTGAAGGCCGACTTACCTGTTATGCCCCTCGGTCCTCTGAAAATTTCCGCAGGCCCCTGTCAGCATCTGGCGTAACTTTCCGATAAGCCCTTACTGGACCGCTGGTGGCGTTTCGTCGGTCCGTCCTTGAAATGCCCTCACGAGGGGCACACATCTTTCTGTGATGCCCTTGCAGCAGTGGCGGCAGGAATTCGAACTCGAAAATGGTAGGCATTTCACACGCCGTCAAGTTCGCCGCGTCATGGATCGCTGCTCCCTCCTCCTCCACCCATGCTCATCGCCCTCCTCCCTCCTCCTCCATCCATGCTTGCCGCTCTCCTCTCTTCTCCTCCATCCTCCATCCTCTATCCTCGTCCATCGTGGTAGTCCTTGTCCTCCATACTCCTATTCCCTCCTCTTCCCTCGTTCTCCCTCCTCCAACTTTCTCCTCGTCACCCCTCCCTCTCCTCCTCCTCGATTGTCGACCTCCTAACCATCACCATGGCCGTCTTCTTGGCGTCATCGCCCGTGCACGTCTGTGTGTGTGTGTGTGTGTGTGTGTGTGTGTGTGTGTGTGTATTGTGTGTGTGTGTGTTCACGTCATCTTTTGGTTTACTTGTTAGTTGGACAGGTGGTATTTGATGACAAATCAAAGGTGTTTGTCACTCGTCATTTGGCGCGTGTGTGTGTGTGTGTGTGTGTGTGTGTGTGTGTGTGTGTGTGTGTGTGTGTGTGTGTGTTTTCGCGTCATCTTTCTGTTTACTTGTTGATTGGACAGGTGGTACATGATGACAAATAGAAGGTGTTTGTCATTCGTTTTAGTGCTCTGGTGTGTGTGTGTGTGTGTGTGTGTGTGTGTGTGTGTGTGTGTGTGCGTGTGTTGTTGTCATCTTTTTGTTTACTTGTTCGTTGGACAGGTGGTATACGATGACGAATCGAACGTCCTCCCTACTCCTCTTCCCTCCTCTTCCCTCATTCCTCCCTCGTCCGTCATCGTCATAGTCCTTGTCCTCCCTATACGTGTGTGTGTGTGTGTGTGTGTGTGTGTGTGTGTGTGTGTGTTGTTGTCATCTTTTCATTTACTTGTTTGTTGGACAGGTGATATACGATGATGAATCGAATGTCCTCCCTACTCCTCTTCCCTCCTCCCTACTCCTCTTCCCTCCTCTTCCCTCGTTCCTCCCTCGTCCGCCATCGTCATAGTCCTTATCCTCCCTACTCCTCTTCCCCCCTCTTCCCTCCTCTTCCCTCGTATAGACTGCGAGTGTCAACAACGGCAACAGCAGCTTGCTGGAAAGATGGACGGTACTGGTAAGGGCATATGGGAAATTTTTCTGCTGGTTCTCAGCAGGCAGCCAGTAGGGGCATACTGAAAATTCGGTACCGCTACCAGTAGGGGCATATGAAACATGTTTGAGGCCCAAAAGGCGCCAGGGGTTTTCTGGAAACATCATTCGTTGTCAAAGGGGCACGACTTCAAGGGCATTTCGAAAATTTTCCCTACAAAAAAACAAAAAAAAAACAAAAAAAAACATGAAGAAGAGCCATAGTTTACGAAGGTAAAAAAAAACTATAGGCATGGTTAAAAATTTTGCCTGGAGGCTTGAGCACAGATGTGGCTGCTACTACTCTTCCCCATAATAATAATACTAAAATGACAATAAGAAAAGGCCTGAAAGGCCCTCCTGTCCAGATTCTACAAGTAACTGAATTGGTTGGGCTTAAAAGAATTAGCCTCTAAAAAAAAGAAAAGCCTGGACTTGCTAGAAGGGGCATGATGACACGTTCTACTGGAACAAGAGGGGAAAGGGGGCCCAAATTCATTGCCAATGATAAGATAATATACCCCTCTTCTGCTTTGCAGACCCTTTCCCTTCCCCCCATAAACGTCATTGTGGGGCTCTCATGCTCTGGGAAGGAGAGTAATCCTGTCTCTAGCAAGGAGCACTGGAACGAGAGTGGTCCTCTATCTAGAAGTGGGCAGGCTTGGGGGGGAGGGGGGGGGTTAGGGGGGGGTAAGGCTAGGATCTAAGGTCAGATTTGGTGACCTTCCAAGCAAGGCTGGCCACTCAATGATGTAGTAGGATTCGGACTTCTGTCACGCTGCGGTTGCCCCAGGGTGCCAGCACGCGCAGTTCCCCAGTTATAGATGTGCACGTCTTTGAGGGGCAGATCTGCAACAAGGGAGCCATCTTGGCGGCAGACCGTCCGGAACAAGCCGAGTATAATTCAAGAAACGAAAAGCGGAGATTTTGCAGGGGCAGATCTGCAACAAGAACACCAGTACAAAAGAGCAAAGCGGAGATTTTGCAGACTATCTTATACCCTTTTCTGGGAGGTGTTCCAGCCTGGGGAGGCATCAGACCAAAAGTTCAGTAGACATGGAGTCATGGACGCAACAAGCGAGTATATATAAAGTAGAAGCCCTGGAGCGTTCCACACAACTCGCCTTATCTTGAGACAGAAGGGGGCAAGACGCACTGGCCATTTTCAAATTTCGCCTAGGGTAGACCGAGCACCAATATCGCAAAGCAACAAAACATGGTTAGTATAAACGAGCGGAGAGGGGGGGAAGTATAAGAGATTAGGGTAACGTGGAAGAGAGAGGCAGAGCAAGTCTTCTCAGTGCGATGAAGTCTGCATTTTTTTTTTTTTTCGCGATGCTGAACCTGGCCATAAAACAGGCCAGGTTGGTTGGGCATCCACCACACAGTCGCCTCTCTCTCTCTCTCTCTCTCTCTCTCTCTCTCTCTCTCTCTCTCTCTCTCTCTCTCCCACACACACACCTCTCTCTCTCTCTCTCTCTCTCTCTCTCTCTCTCTCTCTCTCTCTCTCTC